TGTGTAGTAAGGAAGGGAGGCCACAAAGTAAGTATTTTGATTCCTTAGATGTTCTTCCAGGTGGTCGTACAATCCGAAATTCAAATATCAAGCGTTCAGGTTGTGGAGCATGTTTAAAAATTCACCTTGTTAAAGAACCGAACCAATACGAAGTTTACAAGTTCGTTGAGCAGCACAATCACATCCTTTTTAATAAAGAGGAGATGAGGTTTTCCCGTTCCAAAAGGCAACTCCACTACGCTGATCATAAGAATGTATTTCATGGTTCTAGTTCCAAGGTTGGTGTCACGAAATCTCATAGATTCATGAAAGCCGTTAAGGGTGGTGTAGATTCATCGGGTGGCACAGTAAGAGATCATCAAAACTTCAAACGCGATATGACATATTTTGTTGGTAATAAAGACGCACAAATGTTATTAAATGTGATGGCTAATAGGAGGAAGGTTTGTCCTGACTTTTTTCATGTTCCATTGATGCTGCATTGTACGGTCAATAAGTTCACTTCAATATAATATGCATATTTATAAAGAGTAAATGTTAACTCGATTGTATTTAGATAAAACTTACCAATCCCGAATACATTTTCAGTTATGACATCTTTCTTGCCTACACCAGTAACTGCATCTATATTTGTTTTTGCTCTCTTCTGTCTAGATCTAATTAGAACTTCACGACCATCATCTGATGGACACAAATTGTGGTTTGGTTAATCAGATTGAATTTTGTGAAATAATTGTTCAATGGAGGAGCATCATATATGTTTAATGAACATTTAGGTAATAATATTTCACTAACCAGTGCAATTTGTCGAGTCATCTGCTTCATCGATTGTAAGAACTGGGCCAACAACATTTTGGACATCTTGGACATCAACTGGATTCACTTGGTCCGCAACTGTGTTCACTTGGACATCAACTGAGTTCACTTCGACTGCATCTGGGTTCACTTGGACATCTGCTTCTTCTATTTTATGAAATGGGCCAGCAACATTTTGGACATCTTGGACATCAACTGGATTCACTTGGTTTGCAACTGTGTTCACTTGGACATCAACTGATGAAACTATATTCACGATGAGTATAAATATTGGTTAGGTCAATGAATTAGGTGAAATGATCAATATGGTAAAGATATATGTTAAACTTCACTAACCAGTGCAATGTGTTGAGTCATCTGCTTCTTCTACTGTATGGAATGGGCCAGCAACTGGGTTCAATTGGTCTTCAACTMGGTTCGCTTGGACATCAACTGGATTCAATTGGTCTGCAACTGGTTTCACTTGGACATCAATTGAGTTCACTTCGACTRCAACTGGGTTCACTTGGACATCTGCTTCTTCTATTTTATGAAATGGGMCAGCAACTTGAGCTGCAGCTGGTTTTATTACAAKTACATCAAATATTAGTAGGTACAATGAACAAGCTAAGATGCATATTGGTTTAATTCAATGGGCAGTTTGTATGCTTTTTTAACCATGTTGGTAGGGACTCATCATGATTACCATGACCACACCTTTGTAACATGGCTAACCGTTCACCCATGACCATCTTGCACAAACACACGATGTCGGTTCAAGAGTAGTTAACTGTGAGATCCTTTGACTTTTATGTTATGGTGTGCATGAGGATTAATTGATGAATGTTTTATCAACTAAGACTTGACATAGTCAGCTATCATAATCGTCATCATCATCAACTTTAAAAAGCTATCAAATGAATTAGATTAATACATAATGGTGTGTATTTAATCTGATTCTGATTGATAATTGTATATTGACARCAGCAGAAAATTTAAGGACAATAATACTCTTTTTTATTCTAGGGTGTAGGAATTGAAAAAGGTAGCTAATGAAACCATATTCATCTTATCAAAGAGCTAATGCGAAAATTGAGCTTAAGCTACACTGGTGAATCATGAGTAGTTGATGGAATCAATGAGTTCACTTATGAAGGACTAGCARYAGCAKAAGCARGAGCAGAATAAGGTTATTTTGAAGAAGATGAAATAAGGTTGTAACTGATGAAGCTATATTCATGATGAGTAAAAGTATTTGTTATGTCAATGAATTGGGTGAAATGATCAATTTCACCATGGTCATGTTCACTTAAATGGTCATGTTCACTTAAATGCCTATCTTTAAGTTGCTTACCAATACAACAAACTGGTTACCCTTAATTTGAGCACACAAGGTTCTCAGTAGCTCTTTATTAACACCTATAA